TGAACGTTGTCGGCCTTAGCTCACAGCTTCATTGTTGTTTTTCCCTCACTTCCCTTTATTGGTGACCAACATGGTCACCAGTTAGACCACATACCTGCTTATGTATTCCCTTTGAGTCTTAGTCTCAGAAGGGGGTTTGCCCTGAGGGGACCCGACCACTTGCCTTGATGTCTCCTGAACGCTTCTTAAAACTATACAATAGTTTAGCTTAAGTAGCAAACATTCTGCCTTGAACATTATGCTCTTTTAAGAACTATCTATAGAGGATCAAAACGAGAACAGTAATGAAAAGTTAGATAGGAACCTTAGGGGGCCAGTGAGTGAATGTTAATGGGTACGGAACAACTCAGAGAAGGAGGATGAGAATGGTTACACACTTGTTGTGGGTGGTGTTGTTAGGTGCCGTCAAGTGGAATAGCGACCCTATGCACAACAGAGAGCAACACTGCCAGGTCATCACTGAACAGTACATATAGAAACAGTTAAATTGGTGGATGTTTTGCTGAGTATTTCTCTACAGCAATGAAACTAATAAAATAAAATAAACTGTTTTAATTTTTAAAACATTCCAATTCCTAGGCCTCACTCAAGATTAAATCTCTGAAGGATGGACAGAGGCATAAGAATATACATACAAATAAAAATATTCTTTAAACATTTCCCAGGTGATACTAATGTGCAATCCACAGTTGAGAATGACTGTTCTTTGCATCCATTACTGTGAGTCGCAAAAAGATAATGAAGTGATAGGAACAGTAGCAAGGAAAAGCTGAACTGAAGTGCCACATTAGCAGCAGCAATGGGCTCAAGCATGACAACAGTTGTGAGGATGATACAGGTCCCGGCAATGTTTTGTTCTGTTGTGCATAGGGTAAATATGAATCGGAACTGACTCAATGGCACCTAACAACAACAACAATATAACTTCTAAACTTGTACATTACTAAAAAAGATAATTGCAAATAAATTTGACTTTTGACTAATAATTCCTTTAAAATATATTTTGTTGTTGTTAAGTGCCATCAAATTGATTCTGACCCATAGCGACCCTATATAAGTTTTCCTAGGAACTACTGGTGAGCTTGAACTGCCGACCTTGTGGATCAAACTAACTTTGCAATCCAGTGCATTTACTCACAGTGCCACATCAGGACTCCTAAAATATATTTAAGTCCTAATTAATTTCTTAAATTATATTTTGAGTCATGTCCTTATTATTTAAAGCAGTTATTTATCCAGTTGTGCAGTGTAATACTCAAGTCAAGTCCTTATTCACAGAGAAATGATCAGCCCTTTGGACTAACCAGAGCAACATTTCCACTTCGGTTCAGCTTTTCCTTGCTACAATGCCACATCAGGATCCATATATGTGTGTATGTGTGCATGTTTGCCTTGTCATGAGTTAGGTGAAGGTTTACAAAGCAAATCAGTTTTCCATTCAATAATTCATACACATTTTGTTTCATATTATTGATTGTAATCCACACAATTTACATCACATCCCTCTTCTTCTCTCTGCTTCTATTTCACATCCATCCCATTGTTACCTAACTCTTCCTTCTGAACTTTGTCTTTGGGCAAATGCTGCCCTTTTAATCTCAAATGATTGGTAGAAGGAGTACTTCCCTGCTATTATTGCTCACTGTAGAGACCTCTCTTTGGTTGGCTAAAAACACAGGGGTGAGTTTAGTAACAAAACTGAAGGATGACTGAGGGCCTTTGTCTCCGGCAAGAACTTAGACATTTTATAACATTCTTTCCCTGTCTTTTCATGTAGTTAATGCAGCAAACTCAAGGTAAGGGAAAAAGACGTAGTTCTATTTCTCTAAGAAGTGATTTCTTAAATGGTTCTTGTAGTGGGTGATAAAGAATAGAAAACTGAAGTTGGTTAGAATCCATGACACTGTAGAAAATCTAGACATTCTACAAAGGGAATGGGTAAGGAACACAGGGCCTTTAATGAGGAGCTAAGGTAAATCAACGGGAGTGTGATGGCTCTGTCCAATAAACTCTGGACTATGAACCACAAGGTCGACAGTTTGAGCCCATCAGCTGCTGTGTGTGAGAAAGATGAGGCTTTCTGTTCCTGCAAAGATGCACAGCCTTGGAAACCCATACAGGGTCACTATGAGTCAGAACCAACTTGAAGAAACTTACCAACAATGTAAATCAGAGAAATCATTTAGGCAGCTAAACATTCTGCTTATACTTAACTCTGGCCTAGTATTTTGGTTTCATCGAATTTTTCCATTAGCAACTGCCTACAAGAATATCTAAATTGAGCACTTACTGACCAAAAGTACAAAGATGACAGCTAAAGAGCAAATTCTTGTTTCATCAATGTTACAGCGTAATCATAATTCAAAATAAATATAAAATGGTTTGGCTAAGGAAACTTTGAATGAATTAGCTGGGACGTTGTTCATCATTTTCTGTAATATAAATATTTATTTCTCCAGTTCTGTTCTCTCCTAAGCACATTGCTTTATAAAATAAAATGGTATTTTGTTCAGGCAATTCTTCAAAACAACTGTTGCCAGGGTCTGGGTACTGAAAAACAAACAACAACAAAAAAAAACTATTAAAAAAAATAATAACCCAGATCATTTAAAAAAAAAAAAAGAGAGAGAGAGAGAGAGAAATTCTTACTATTAAATCAAAGCATCGGGATTACTTCCAAGTGACTTAAAAATCTATGTTCTAATTATCCCAGTTTGCTTTTTCTGCCAGGTTCTTCAACATTACCAGGAAATTGTGAAACAGTCTTTTTGTAGTATATTCTAATTTATTAAATGATTAGATATTAAATATTGATTAGGTATTAGCAATTTACTCATGTTGCTGTTGTTAAGTGACATCAAATCAGCTCTGACTTATAGCAACCCAGTATAGGGTTTCCAAGGAGCAGCTCACTGACCTCATGGTTAGCAGGCTCATTACCCTACACTACCAGGACTTCATAATTTACTATTGTGTGTATATAACACAGTGGAGTATATGTACGCAATTTATCTCTGTCTGAATCACTATATTAAAATAATTAGCAATGTTCTGCCAACCATAACATCACCTCCTATAAGATGAACTACAATAAAATTTGTAAATCATTACTAGTCTGGACACTTTCCTTTGAAATTATTATTTTACTCCTGGAAAAACAAAATCAAGTTTCTAAACTCCTAAGATTTCTTTTAAAATTCCTGAGCCTTAGGCAAATTAGAAACATTTGTCTATGCATCATTGCTTCATAAAGCGCTTAAATATTTCATTCTATCCAAAATATTTCACTTTTACTGAGGTCCAAATTCTGTATTTCTATATTTTTATTCCTATATTGTCTGCTTATTTACTATCTTTACTTTTTAAAAACGGTAACTGAAATAGGGGACTTGTTTTTTGAGTGAGAGAGAAATAATACTTTAAATAATTCCTGATTTTTTAAATTTCTACTAATCCTGGTGTGGCGCTGTAGGGTCAGCACTGGACTGGGGAACCACAACGTTGGCAGTTCAAACCCACCAGCTGTTCCTTGGAAACACTACACAGGGTAGCTATGAGTTGGAACTGACTTGATGGCACTTAACAACAAGAAGAATGTATTGTTTAGGAAACAAAGCCATGAGTTTTACTAAAAAATCATTGGAAACTTGTTTTTGAAACTTAAAAAAAAAATTTTAATATAGAATTTTTTCTTTAGAATTGGCATCAATACAACTTTCCTCCATTATTAGAAAGTGTTCCTGTGCATCCAAGATTCATTACCTTTTGGACTCTTTTCCTACTTGATCTTCAAGCATAGCCCTATCCCTAGAAGTTAGGCAAAATGTCAGTAAGTTGAAAGAAGACACCTTTACTTTGACAGTTAAGCAGTAAAGTATAATAAGAAAGACTAAAGAGAAGAAAAACAAGAAATGCTTGCAGAACCAGGTTCACTATAAAGCTTAATATGTTTAGACTGAGGTCATACTTTTTAAAAGTTTTTTCTCTGCTGGAAACAGTTTTCCAAGCCTGCCTCTCTTTATTCTCCATCCCTTAAGTCCTAAATCCTAACGAGGTGTTTTCTTGTTTTGTTTTGTTTTTGCTTGTGAGAGAGACAAATCGTTTTCAGGGAAGGACTATTCTGTTAATTTCACGGAGGTTTTCTATTTTTCATAAGCCGTTCCCCAATGTCCCCAGACATGCAGAAAGTCACCTGTATCCCTTTACACCTTTTTGAGAATACATTTCATTAAAATCTGGAGCCCTCTGTTCTCAGAAAATAAAAACAAACAAACCGAACCTACACAGAACTTTGCATTTAATTCCAGGACGTCATTTGGCCTCAAGTTAAAACATGGGTCTAGGTCTAAAAGGGAGTCCAGGTGCGGCACTGTAGGGTAAGCACTGGACTACTAACCACAAGGTCAGTGGTTCAAACCTATAAGCGGTTCCTCAGAAACCCTACACAGGATCACTATGAGTTGAAACCAAAGGAATTCCCTAGTACCTTTCAAGGAGTCAGAGGATTGCTCAGCTTCCTAATGAAGGCCAGTCCATGTGAGTTCTTCACGCAATCAGTTCTAGGTCGGACCTTTCACCACTGGAGTAAGTGCGTCCGGGCTACCCACAGGCTTAATTAGAAGAAAAGTTAACTTTTGGCTCCATGCATTCCACCAAACCCTGCTGTGTAGGCGCCGGGACCTGCACTGGGCAGTAGCCTCAAAATCGAAAACAACGGCAGGACCCACGTTTTGTTGTTGTTGTTGTTATTTAAAAGTCTCTGGACACCACCGGGTCCCTGCACTTAAATCCAACCCGAAGAACGAAGCCTGGAGGCTCCTAATTGGGTACAACCTCAGATGTCTTGTTTCCTCCTAGATCACCTCAAGCCCACTCCACATGAGGTCAAACACTGGTGTTGCCCTCCAACCTAAGACCTCCACAGAATCCAGGCGGGAAAATGCCACCCCAGCCATCTGCATCCTCGGACCGGAGCCCCGGCGTGCGCACAGTGTTTTTACCTTGGGGTTGGTCAGAAGCTGGTGCTCGTCGCTGTGCAGCAGAGCTCTGGAGTTGGACTCGGAGTTGTTCACGTACACCTGGACGCAGGGGTACTGCGAGGTGCCCCTGCAGTCGGCGCCACAGGTGAAGGTACACTCGAACACCTCACCGATTTGCTGTACAGATAGCACCGTACAGTTCACTGCCGTGGCTTGCAGATCCTGCAACGCGGGACTGAGCCAGCAGAAGCCGAAGATGAAGAGCGACACGACACCGGAGATGATGAGAAATAAGCCGAGCCGGATGCTCTTGTCCTCGGCTTCCGTGTACTCGTAAGCCACCCGGAGCTTCGCCATCGCCCCCCACTCCAGGCGGCTGGCGCGCTCTCCCCCCCACGCCCCCTCCCGCCCCCGGCGCCGAGCCCGACTGCCTCGACTGCCTTGGGCGGGAGGAACCACCCGCCACCGAGTGACAGCAGGGGAGTGGGCGGAGAGGGGGAGCGCGCTAGAACAATGGGGTGGAGGCCGACTACACCCCCGGCGGCGGCTGTCGGGCCCCCAGCTTCACCCCCCAGCCGCCGCCTGGGCCCGGGAGGCACGCGGTGCAGCCGCCGCTTCAGCTCCTCCGCCACCCCGGGGTGCGAGGCGCGCACGGGCTGCTCCAGCCTCCAGCGCCCCCTGCCAGCCTCCGCCCCCACGTTCTCCGCGCCTTCCCTACCCCGCCTTCTCTCTCCAATGTCTCCTAGTCTCCATCACCTGCGGGGTGCTACTTGGCCGGCTCCTGGGCCGGCTGCCCAGAGGGCAGGAGCTGCTGGGCGAGCCCAGAGGCTCCCCTGCTCGAGAGGCGGGCTCTGCTCGCCCCACCCGGCACTACCGACCCCGGCCCTCCTGGCCTGCCCCGCCCAGGGGCGTCTCCTGTCCGCCCGCCGCAGGCAAGCACCGCGTGCAGCAACGACTTGCGCTTAAGACACTGGGTAAATCCTCTGGGAAGAGGTCCGTGATGAAAGCTTAGGATCCATATAGCTGAAACAGAATGAAAGTTAAAAAAAGAAAGAAAGAAAAAGGTGTGTGTGGAGGCGGGGAAGGAACGGGTGCAAGTGGAACGGCGGAAATCTTGAACTCCAAACGGGTATTGTTCAGCGACAGAGAGAGTGAGCCACCGGCCAACCAGAGGTGCGCTCTGGGTTGTTGCACCGGTGGCCGAGTGGAAGGACAAAGGCTGAGGCGTAAGCTAGTGAGCACCCCAGGTGGGCTCCTTCCACAGGTGTCCACGCTGTGAGGGGGCATCCAGCGGACAGATGTGACCCTGCGGTGGCCTTGCTGTCACCTCCCGTCCCAGCAGCGAGCTTAGTTCTGCCGCCATGTCCCAGGTACTTCCAACTACCTGGGGCTATACACGCGCCCTAAGGACCCAATCCGGCCAGCATGGTGGCCAGGTTGGAGTGAATCCGCCTGAATCAGGACGAATTTGACATGGAGGTAACCCGCGAGTGACAGAGTCTGAAATTAGGAAAACCTAGGAAAGTTCCTGCCTGGGTCATGGGTGGAGTTCGCCGACAATGACTTCTCCAGCAGCGAGGTCGGTCCCAACTCCACTAGGCAGTAAGGCTGCGGTCTAAATTGTTGTTCTGTGCCATGGAGTCGGTTCCGACTCACAGTGACCCTGTACAGGGTTTCCGAGGAGGCTGTAAATCTTTACGGGAGCAGAAAGCCTCATCTTTCTCCCGTGGAACAGCTGGTAGTTTCGAACTGCTGACTTTCGGGTTTGCAGCTCAATTCATAACCACTATGCTCTTTTGCGGTCTGGGACAAAAAAAAAAAAAAAAAAAGTGATAGTTTAGTTTAGGCTTGTAGTCTTAGGAGCCTAAACCTCTTTTCTGATCTGGGCTGACTTCTCTCGCTTCAGGACGCCTGAGAACATAATCGTTTCTGTTCTGATGTAGATGAGCTTTCCAGGAGCGCTGTGCCAGGCGACCAAGACAGCGGTATGCAGACCCATTTTTGACAGGTACTGTTTCTAGAGCTCCGTTCTGCTTTCTTCTTCCCATTGCTTTCTCCACCCCCTCACAGCGCGTAGACATTCTTTTTGCCTTTTTTTTTAACTTGGTGATTTTTCCCAAACCACACTCTTAATCGTAAAATCAAACTTGAAAACTATTTTGACCTACATTTTGAAGAATAAAATCAGAATGTTCACTTCTTTGCAAAATATAGGTAAATATCTTTTCCTTGTTTGGAAAGTCCCAAATGAATGTATACACTTTAAATTCAGTTATGTTTCCAATGAATATAAAAACACCAAATCATAGGATTGACTTCTCTTTCCTGGATGTAAACTGGTTTTGAGTACCTTTCAACTGCAGTTCTTTTACTTTGGAGCACTACATTCCTTTATGTGATAGATAACACCATTTCCCATGTGTAGGCAAATCAAGTTTAATTATAGGAAGACACACAGTTTCTCTGAATAAATTATGAAAACGCATGGTTTGGAAAACTTCCAAATAAGGAAGACACATTGCCCTTTAATACCTTTCAAGTTTTGTAACAGATTTCCTTCTCTCTTTACCTATGAATTACATTATTGTCTTCATTTTCTGTTGGTGTAAACACAGTTGTTAATGGTTACATTACATGAAAGTAAAAGTGTTTAATGTTGAAGCAGCTGAGCTGAGATTACAACCCTTCACTATGTATCGTTTTCCTATTGAAGGTTATAACAGCCTTCCTTTTAAAAAACACTGAAGCCTACACTCTGAGGCAGTGATAAGCCTCAAGATTCAATAATTCTTCTTCAGTATATTGGGGTGGCACTGTAGGATAAGCACCAGACTGCTAATCAGAAGGCCGGCAGGTAAAACCCACTAGCCCTTTATTTGGAAACCCTATACTCTGAGTATAGGGTCACTATGAGTCAGGACTGACTCGATGGCACATAACAACAGCAACATACTGTAGGATTGAACTTTAAGGTAGAATTATGGATCCTAACAAAACACAAGGATGAGATGGAGTCTAAGAAACTGAAGTAGAATGGTCTTGTAAGTCTAAAAAACACACATCAGAAAATTCTGTTTTAATTTAATCTAAATATTTATGGACTTTTAGAGTTTTTTTTTTTCTAGTTCTCTGCTTAATCAGCTGCCTTCTTTACAACTAATCTTAAAGATTAGTCTTTAAATAATTTACTTTCCTTTTATTATTTAAAAATTAGCTTGTCTTTTCTGCATGCTCTCATTATCTTAATACTTTGAGAGTCAAACTTAAAAGAATAAAACATACAGACGACTTCACTTCACAAATTGAATCCATTTCTACTTTAATCCTTAATGAAACATTGGTAATGTTTGGTATTAATTTCCTTTGCTTGAGGTAGGTTTGCCTTAACGTATTATATGGGCTATGGTAGTCTCTCAGTTTCAGACAACAGGTCACTATTGACTTCCTACTTTAGAATAGTAAGAACCCTGGGGCTAGCCCTCAGAAATGCTAAGCTCTGAGGTCACTCTCTTCTCTGTAGAGAACAGAGACAGCTCAAAATATGCATGTCTCCCTTTACCTGTCCTTTCTCTTGTACGTTGTTAAGTGCCATCCAGTCATCTCTGACTTATAACTACCCTGTATAGAGTTTCTGATGAGTGGCTGGTGGGTTTGAATGGCTGATCTTACAGTCCAGTGCTTATCCTATGGCACCATACCAACGTTCTACTTTCTCTGTTTGTTGTTAAGTGCCATCGAGTCAATTCTGACTCATAGTGTCTCTATACAGGGTTTCTAAGGAGTGGCTGGTGAGTTTGAACTGCCAACCTTGTGGTTCAAAGCCACAGTGCCACACCAGGACGGCATTCCAAAACTGAAAATTTTGATGAAACAATGTAATGCTCAGAATTAGATTGACTTATTTGATGTACATCACTGACCACAGCAGTGTTTGTAGGAAAATCATGGCCAAGCCTTGATTAAATCCCAGTTAAAGAAAAATCTATATAAAAAAAGAGCCATTAAAATGATCAATAATTTCAATGTGTATTTATGCTTTTATTAAAAGATTCTAAAAAAGAATTATCATAAGGACGACTTTGGTTTCCTAGGATTAGAAAGGAATTCAGAGCATGTTGAAAAAATATTTATGAATTGTTTAAAAATTGACTGGTTCTTAAGTTTTTTAACAGAAACTGCTAAACTACATAGGCAAGGAAACTGACATTGTATCATTACCCTTTTCTCATTAAAATGCATATTCTGGATCGGTTTTAGACCTTTGTATATAGTATAATTAGGTAAAAATGAACTGGAATGAAAATATAGACTCAAAGAAAGTAAACCACATAAAATTTTTTTGATTGAGCACCTAAGTTGAAGATTTTACTATCAAAAAAACTGAGTTTCCTTTTTCTTTGGTTTTAACTTTAAAATGTTCACAGTTGTACTAAGTTATTTCCAGCTTGCTCATACCAAGAAATTGAATTTCTTGTCATACTCCATTGTTAATATTAGATATTATTAGCCTCAGGGGGTTCTCATGTGGTGCTGTAGGATAAGCACTGGACTGCTTACCGCAAGATGAGTGGTTCAAACCCACCAGTCATTTCTTGGAAACCCTATACAAGGTCACTATGGGTCAGAATTGACTTGAAGGCACTTAACATCAATTATCCTTAGAATTTTAGGTGTTAAGACAAATTTTCTATGTGGCCACTACTTTTTTCTAATTACTTTTGTTTAGAAAGGTTAAATTTTTGCATGTTACATCACGCGCATAATGCTTAAACTGAGAATAGTACTTGCTGTCTCTAAACGTTTATAAACCACTGAGTTAATTCAGACTCATAGTGACCCTGTATGGGGTTTCTGAAACTATAAATCTTTATGGGAACAATTTCATCTTTCTCTCTCAGAGTGGGTTACTGTTGACCTTGTATTTAGTAGCCCAATGCTTAACTCACAGCACCACCAAGGCTTCTTTAAATGTTTAGAGTCATACTAGAACTGAAAGAGATCTTAAATATCACCTGTTGTTGTTAATGCCATTGAGTCTGTTCTGACTCATAGTGACCCTGTGTATTTGGTTTCAGAGAAGCAGCTAGATGATGGGTTTGAACTGCAGATATTGTGGTTTGAAGTCTAGTGTTGATCCTACAGCGCCACACTAATTCAATATTATTCAGCTCCTCCTAAAGAGTGCATTTTGTTTGAAATACTAAAGAATGATTATTATATGTGGTGCTGTAGGATAAGCACTCAACCACAAGGTCAGTTTGAACCACAAGGTCGGTGGTTCAAACTCACCAGTTGCTCCTTGGAAACTCTATACAGGGTCACTATGGGTTGGAACTTGACAACAACGTTTACAAGTTCAAACATACATTTGCATGCAGTCTTTATATTTTCAGTTGAGGAAGGAACACAAAAAGCACAAGTAATTATTACACATTGGTGGTGGTGGTGGTGGTGGTAGTGTGCTGTGGAGTCGGTTCTGACTCATAGGGTTTCTGTAGTAGATTCCTAATACCATACTGGAAGTACTGGCTGCTGCTGTTGTTAGGCACTATCTAGTGAGTTCATATTCATAAGGATTCTATGTACAACAGTCCTTGCCATGTTTGAACTCAGTTTTGCAGCCACTGTGTCAATCCATCTCCTAGGTCTTCCTCTTTTTCGTTCATCTCATTTTACTTTACCAAGCACCATGTCCT